TTTTCGCATTTAGACTTCCTCACCGCATGTTTATATATTAAATACGCTGACAGGTATGGTTGCGTCTGGGTCTCAACTAAACTACTATCCCTAATTTTGAACTCCTTTTTGGTTACTAAATTGCTAGTTTTGTGTTCATTTGTCATATCTTCTAATATATTTTCCAGCTCCAAATCAAAGACAGCGATCTAATCCAACATTTCGTGTTTGTCTTCCCTAAAATTGCTTGCTTTATGCTCAAATTTATCCCTAAAAATTTTCATAGAGATAGGACGCTATGTAAAATATTTAATTTCTTCCTAGAAAGGATCTGGATTATTGGGAATGGATGCTCTTAATCTAGAAAAGAAATTTTCCGAAGCGTGTTGGTTCAATTTCCCTGTCAAAAAAACTGCAGTTCGTCACAGTCCTTAAAATGATCTTCAGCCAAACAAACCACTCCCCATATCATTTGCTTTAAGCCGGTGATCCAATGATAAGTAGTTTGTTTTTTCCGCGCTAGATCGTGCTAAATTTTTTTTTATTTAAATGACATTTTGGGCAAAGTTGAATATTGATGAAAATGTACAAATTGGAAAAAATTATATTAATATTTTGCTTTTAATAAGAATAATAACAGTAATGGGAAAAATATGTACGATAGACATTAGAGAGGAATAAATAAATAGACAAATAAAAAACTAATAATAATTCTGCAAACATAAGGCAAATCCGTTCATAAAAAATGTTCAAATTAAAATACCCAAAATAAAAAAGCCCAATCACAGAAATATCAAAATTGAAAATTCTGTCGTTTATGCGCCTGCATATAATTGCTCAAGCAAATTCTCGCAAAACCGCGCATAGGTGCTTCCGCTTGCATACATATAATTGCTTAAGCAAACGTACGTATATTGCTAGCGTAGTGCGAATACATTCACGTACAGATCTATTGAATACGGATACTATCGCATACACATGCTCATAGTGTAGCTTACGCACACTTGGCGTACAAAGTTCAGTAAATGCTCTCATTTCAATTCTTTTACTTTCTCTTACGGTTTTTTCTTTGTCTATCTTATATATATGTTTTTGCTTGAAACGGTATGGAGTTTTCGTAACAACATTCCTACGAAAAACACACTTTTACATAAAAGATCAGATTTACAATATTTTGTGATGAAAATTTTGTCAATAACAGTAATTTGACATAAAACCTAATGAAAAAAATGTTCTATTCGTTAAATAACGCAAAAATTGAATTGAATAAATAAATAATCTCCTGCAGTAACTAAAGTAAACGGTTGAACTAAAGTTGATAACGGAGTAGACGCAGCTATTGCAGCAGGAAGTCATGAAGAAAATGGAATTCGAACTTTCTTAATTATTGCAGCTAGTATTAGTGTCTTCTAATTACAATTATATTAAAATCGTTTTTTGTTATATCTAAATAAAAAATATAACACCAACTAGCATAATTTTATATTTAAGCAATTGTTAGTCGCAAAGCAACATCTGCAATCCGATCAGATAAAACAGCAAATACACTAGCATTAAAAGATTGAATGAATATTCTGTAAAATTGGGAACCATAAGTCCATTTCTTCGACTTCATCCTATATATATATATATATATATATATATATGCTTGCATTAGTTTTGAGTATCGATTTCTACAGGCGAAAATGATAAGTTAATGGGAGCTACCAGTCTACACAATGGTTAAATTCTATGATTTTGACCTTTATCTAACTAAAACAACAGTCCCCCATTTAGTAGTATCCAATGTATACAGGCGCTAATCTTGGATCGCCCACAATTGTATTTATGACATTAATTCGATATCGTGATTTTACTGCGTACCATGCAAAAAGGGAAGAGTTTTCGGTCGCGTATTGTGACTGGCAATGGAAAACGGATCTATTACGGGAATCCCAAGCACAAAAAGTCAGGGGTGAGTCCAGCAGAGCTGGCCACATCGACACCGAAACGAAATATTTATGGCCATAATGTTTTGCAATGCATTTGGTGGGATCGGCCAGGTTTAGTTTATTATGAGTTGCTTAACCGAATCAAACTGTTCCTGCCGATATCTATCGACGGCAATTGAACACATTAAACGATGTACTGTTGCAAAAAAGACCAGCAATAAATGGCTACGTATTGACTGAAAATGAAATTTTGTGCGCTTGTTTCAAAAGTTATCAAGGATACACTATTGCGGCTCGAGTACGAAGTTTTGCCGTACATAACGTACTCGCCAGCATGACATGATTGGCATGCAGCTTCGCTAAGTTGAAAAAGTACGAAAATGGATCGATGGATCGCTGCCAAAGCAGTATAAGTTCTTTCGACAGCGCATTGTCACGTAGCTAGAAGGATTGGTAAAAGTTGTAGAAAATGGTTGAAAATATTTGAATTAATATATATTGTGCTAATTTTTCTTGAACAAATGCCTTTTCAAGTAAAAAAATAATCAAAATTAATGCACGCACTTATTATATATTAGTCCGAATGAGTAGCCAAGTAGGTAAGAAGCACCATTACCAGGTTTCTGTTCGCGGGTTCTAATCTCAATGCGGTAGCATTTACTTTTGCAATAATTGTAGTAAGTGCCCAGTCGATAAAGGCAAAACATTTGCCGAATGCGCATACAGCCGCTAGGCTGCGATCGCTTCTCTCTGTCTTTTTCTTTCCTTGGATGTTCTGGAGGCCCTCTTATAAAATGTCTCCCGTGAAAATTATGCTTTCGCGTAAATAACAAAATACTTTGTATATTACAATTTTTCGTATATTATTTTATTTACTTATTTTTTTGTTGTGATCATCTTGCTACATAACTAACCATTTTAATCATCAACTGTTTTCATCAGACGAATTCAGGTGTCGAAGAATGAGAACAATTTTCTCTTCAAAGCATTTAAAAAGCGATCGAAGGATATCAAAATCAAGGGCAGCGCAATTTGGTAATAAGCAGAAACCACAATGAACGAACGTTGAGCCGAAAAGTTATGGGCGTCAGCAATGTGAAAGGACACAGAAAATTGTAGGCGCTCGATCAAAAGATTGGGTGCTTGGGTTTGAAAGATTACAGACAGATTAAGAACTTAAATATATTTTACCATGAAAGGAAATGAAGAAATGCTGTAGGGCATCTAATCGTCCAATGGTGACGTTTTTGTCGTCTTTTCATACCCACCACTGTAAGGTGGAGGTATACTCATTTTGCTTTCTTCCATAATGTACGTGACACCCAAAAGAAAGCTTCAGAGACGCTATAAACGATATATATTCTTGATCAGCGTTAAATTCTGAGGTGATCCAGCCATGTCTGTCTATCAGTGAGTTTGCGTGGTGTTTGTTGGTCGCACTCTTCTGGTCGCAAAAATGAAGATATCGACATCAAATTTGATAGAAGCATTGGAAGTTTTTACACGCAGGTTGGTATTGAAAATGCGCCAAATTGGTTAAAGCAGAAGCGCGCCGTGGAGCGTAAACTGAACGCCACTCAATTTTTTCTAACAGAAATTTTTGAATTTTTGCTCGCTATTCGCAAATTATTAAAGTTAGAACGCTGAAACTTTCCACATTTGTTTTGCAGGACACTCTAGCCTTTACGTGCAAAAATGAAACCAATGGAAAGAAATTATTTTTCGCTTAGACCGCGCACTTCGACATCCGACATGTGCTTGTTTTTGTTGTGTACTATAAATATATCTCGAACGCAACGAAAAATACCCCGTTAAAAATGTATCACAACCGTGATAGCGCAAGCATCCTATTCTATAATGGGAGCAAGAAATACGACCATTTCCGTTCATTCCGTCCGATTATTATATGCAAACAACATGCATAACCGTAACGCATAAAACTTCTGGTTGCTTGATTGCTTAGATAAAGTTAATAACTTTTCTTATAAAGTGTTGAAAATGACTTCTACTGACTACTTTTCTTCATACGACGGCCAATGCATAGAGGATGATGCAATCTTATATGCTGGTAGGTGCAAATCTATAGACAATATAGTTTAAACTATAACTTTTTTTAAAAAGATAGAAAAAGAATAATAAAATTTGATTAACACCAAAGCTTTCAAGTATAAGAGCAATATTCTCTCACTTCTTGCCCTCTTAGATCTTATGAACACGAAAGGATTACGAATTGAATGTATCGAATTATCGCTTATCGACATAATCACAATGATCGTAAATTGTGGTTAATTTACGGTCACGTATGTTAATTAAGTATAAAGATTTGATTTAAAGCAGTCGATGAATGGAAAACAATTGTTACAGCATAACATCTAAACAAGCAAACGAGAATACGATGATCCCGTGAAAGGATTTTGTTTACGTTTTCCGATAACTGTTTTACGATAAATATTATTATATGTTTTGCTTACGGAAACGAAGTGATACAAATGAAGTAAAACGGGCGCTACATGTGAGTAAGTAAATGGCATTAAATATGTAAAGGAAAATAAAAAAATAAACAAATCATAATCGTCTAATACGAAAAAATAAATAAATAAATAAATAAAAGCTTTTACTTGAATCAAGCAATATACGCGTTTTTATAGTAGTGTAGGTAAAAAGGCAAAGCTTTCTGATTTCGAAAGGAAAATTAAAAGAAAACAAAGCAGAATAAAGGCAAAAAAACAAAGAAATAACAACGACCGTAATAAAAGTAAAATGAATTAAGAGTCACTCGAAAATATAAATATTGCAATTTTGTCTCCTCGAAGAGAGCTGTTCAACTAGAAATCTCTTACATAATATAACATGTGATAGAGAGTGCCACTGTAAAGAGAGCATGTGTAGAATAGAAGCAGAAGCATGATAATAATTAGAGCAAATGTTAACATACACAAACAAACACCTGTCTGGTAGCTGCTTATGAAAATGTTAAGTAGGGAACGGAATGTGTAAAAATTTTGTTAAACTTGAACGCGAGTAGAAATTTGAGATGCTATGCACACATGTCTTGAACCTCTGAAAAGCTTTAAAGGACAATTCAGTTCAATTTTCAACATTCATAAAGAACAATTCATCCTTTGCATCCTATTTCAACTACTGTGAATAAGAAAAAAAAAACAACAAAAAAAATAAATGAAGATTCTTTAAACATACCCAAGGAGCCAACATACTGTGAAGATGAAACCTCTGTTCGTATATACGATTTTTATTAGAGATAGATATTAATCAAATGGAGAGAAAAAAAAAAGTGTACTTTAACAAGTATTAACAAAAAAAAAACCCATATGTATGTATCAAAAAAGGATAGATTTAAAGGCAAGAGCGTTAATGAAAGGCTAGAATAAAGTTTTATTAACATTTCGGTGAAAAACAAAAAGTAATCGGTCTTTCTAAACGAGTTGTGATTTTTGTTGTTACTGTTGGCATACTTTAAACTACGCGTACATATGGCTGTGCGTGTGTGCATATGTAGTTTTGTAAACTAAATAAACTTGATTACAGAAAAAATTTGGAAAAGTAAAGGTTATGATGAAAATTTTTAATAAACTTTCTGTAGTTATTCTTTTTCTTTTTTTTTTTTTTTTATCCTTTTTCCCTTTTTTATTGTGGTGAAAACACGTGTTATATAGAAAAATTCCTTTTACAAGAGAACATGTAAAATGCTTTCCAAATAATGTTTATATGAGTGCATGCGTGCGTATATGTAAGTTGAAGTGTTCGCTTGTAATAATAATATGAGAAAAAATTTCCTTGAATTTTTATAGTAAGTGTAAGGTCAAGTATTTGAGATGCAATTCCTCCGTCCTTCTTATTCCTAACAAATTCGCAAACGTGTTTGAACAACATACATTTGAAAGGTCATTGTTAAATTATACAAGGATTTCAAACGACATACTATTCTGATAAATACTCTAAATACTATTCATTGAAGGCCGTCTTTCCTCCTTCCGAAGATACGTGACATATGTATGCGTACATCCATGCACGCATATTTGTACGAAGGATGCGTAAAAAACAATTTTTTTGAACGATTTACCGTCAAAATATATATTCCTGAACCGGTTGCCAATAAATATAAACTAATGAAGTGTGTACAATCAAATCGTCTATGACGTCACACAATTAGTTAACGGCTTATTAAACATTGCAAACAAATTTGACCGAATATTAAATATTTGCTGGCTGAAGTTCATTCATTCTAAACTTTACAATATATTCGTGTAAGAACTAAGGCTAAAGAGTGTTTTTTTTTTTTTTTTTGCTTTTTTCGTATTTCAGTAATTGATAAAAATTTCCGAACTCTCCACTTTGAAATTCGTTATAGAGAAGGAAAAACTTTTTGAATGAATTCCATATTTTACCGCATACTCTTTATCTAAAAAGATAATAGAAACACATATTCACATTTGCACATAAATATTTACACACACACGCGCGCGCGCGTATCTATATATATATATATATATATATATATGTGTATATACATACGGGCCGATATTACCATTCTAAAGTACATACTCGCATACATAGACACAATTAGTAACGCTAACAATGGAAATAGCGTTACTCAGCCTAAAATATTAGCAAATAAGTGTTGTGCATAGCATGTATGAAACGATTGTATGGATTTTGACCCCTCAGAATCTTAATACATATTGTGGATCTATTACGGGTATATACGTAAATGTTTTTATATTAGCTCATAATGAATGCTCTGGGTGCATTACAGTTTTCCTTTTGTCTGTAAACATCCAGAAATACGCTTGATAAAGGGTTCATAAATTGAACCATCACCGTTTGTCCGCCCGACCATTATATCTTATTGCGATGCTCACAGTAGCAAAAATTGAGATGTATATAAGCAAAAAAATATTGAGCCTTTGGTGTATATAATCCTTTCTCTCCTTTCTTTCACTCTATTCATACTCATACACTCACACTTAGGATTAGCTAATGCTACCCTCATTGGGGTTAATATTTTTGTGATTACCTAATTCAAAACATATATACATGGAAAGAACAAAATAACAACACCCCGAACAATAACCTACCGCACCATACTAAACAATAGACAAAGCGAACAGTAGTCATTTATATAAGAAAGTAAAAAAAAAAAAAAAAAAAACACACACACACACACAAACACACACAAAAATTTAAAAGAAGAAAGGAAACAAAGGAATGTATGTTTATACATTTGTTAGCTTGTATGCATGCTTTTGTGTATTGACAAATGGCAACAAAACCAGTCAGTCTGCTGCAGTAATTCCAGAAATACCGAATAAAAGGAACACAAAAACAATGGCAATAGCATGTAATTTGTTATTTAATCTTTTGTGCACCACAGTGCGTATAAGTGGCCAATAAATACACCAGCAATTTAATGTTAAAATTTAATCGTAAATAGAATTCATAACATTTATCCTCACCAAATTTTTTATTATTTATTGCTGTGATTGATATGATGTGAGTAAATTAGAACTAATGACACTTGTGAGCATAACTGAGACAAACTTTCAACTCTGAAGCCATTTTATAAAAATAATAAATGTTTTTTAAGTTTATGCTGAAACTGGGCGCGGCTGAGAACGAATTTAAATCGAAATCATTTGCCTTTTTTATACACGTAATATAGGCATCAGCTGCCGTTATTTTAACTTTAAGTGATCATTAAAGTGAAAAGGAAAAGCAAGAAACAAAACCAAAATAAGGAAAATAACATTCAAAAAGGATCGTGAAAAAGTCAACAGCTCGTACGGTATTTCTTAAAGTAATCAATACTTCATAAAGCTCATGCTATAAACATTTCGAAAGCGATATTTAGTTTACTGTATCCCTAAAATTTGTGGAATTAACGTATGCATCAAACGAAAATTTTTTAATTCCGTAAGTGTTAGGACACACCCTGAAAACATGCAAAAACATAAAAAAAAAAAACGGCAAGTTAGAGAAAATTTGATTGCCAAATAAAACATTTCAAAAAATATAAAGGAATGTAAATTCAAAGGCAAAGCTAACTGAAATGTGTGCAAAAAACATACAAACATAGCGTGAAAACATTAAGCTGCAAGAAAGGTATCAAAGCATTAAATTTCACTAAAAAAAAACAGACTGAAAAAATCACAAAAACAACAAATGATAACAACTTTCTAAAACGTGTACTTTGTTGAAGAGAGAATATATCGTCTGTTTACTCTTAGATGAATACGTAAAGAGAAAAACCCTAAGAGTGTTGAGTTCGAAGTAAAGCGTCGCAAGAAAGCATATATAAACGTACACAGTTACAGTTTTTATTTAGGCAGAAAACAGCATGGGTCATATAAAATGTCTCCGCGGTTTTTGGGTAAATTTTTCAACAAAAATTTTCATTATTGAAAATCCATTTTAAACAAGTAAATATTATCAAAGGAATCATCAAAGATGTGTGTGGCCGCGCATTGTCATGATGCAGCCGAACTCGCTTTCTGGTGCACAATTTTAGTCGCTCTTTCTGTATTGCTTCTTTCAAACGGTCGAGTTGTGCACAGTACAGGACCGAATTGCAGCAGTTCATAATCCACAATTCCCTTCGAATCCCACCAACCCTTCAGTCGAGGCTTTGAAATTGTTTGTGGAGGATTACGAGCCTTCACCATAACCGCTGGTGTTTATTTTCCTATTTTACCCAGTTTTCATCGCCTATATTGATTCGCTTTCAATTTCGTTTTTTAATAAAAAACATTCCACTGATGGTAATTCGGTCAATCAAATTTCTTTGCGTCATGTAGTTGATGTTTCGTGTCTCCGCTTTTTCCTGAACGCTTGCGTGCCGGTCTTGCTCCACCAGTTGCAAAATTACATCGACTTTTTCAGTAACTGACCGACCAGAGCGAGGTACATCTTTAACATTTAACCGAGCAAACCATTCCTGAGTCCTTCAATCACTCAAAGCATTCTCACCGCACACTTCACAAATTTTTCGGTACGTTTTGCAGTAAAAAGTATCACATAACGCGTTTCTTCAGATATTTCACTCAATAGAACATTTTGTATGAGAATTAGAAAACTACTTTCACGAAAAAGCTGTATAGTCGCCTTTTAAGCACATGTTCGTTTGAGACAATCAGATGAGTGTTGCCAGATATATAGGCAACAACACCATCTAGTGGCAAAAATCCGCGGAGACTTTTCATATGCTCAATATTTATATATATATATATATATATATATATTTAGCGATGTAGCGATAGTTTTTTTAAATGTGAAAAATTTCGTGTATCTTAGTGAATATGGAAGGTAAATGTGATTAAAAGTAGAAAAAACAAAACCATAAACAGCTTAAGTCGATTATTTTAGTACCCAACCATAGGTTGGGTAATTTAAAAAAAAATGTGTGACGAAATCTGTAATAAATTATCATATTTATAGCACATAATTCATTATCAATAGATAAATGGCTACCTATCTTTCCATAGTTCAACAGCGAAACTCCACAGTACATTGTTTACAATCACTCCGGTCAAAAAATTACCAAACCCTCAGAGTATAATGCATCAACTAATAGAAGAAATTTCTTTCTTCGCTAACGAACAGGTAAACACATGTCACAAAATCGCAAAAAATATATCCCTACTGTACGCAAAAAACGCAGCTCTGTTTCGAATGTCCCTGGCGGCGTTTCGTCGCAAAGATTTTGATTATCACAATTCTTCAGTTAATGGTGGTACAATGAAGGCTTTAACCGATTTGGTTCAGCATTTGACGACCATGTTATCCAAGAAAATACACATTATTCGCCTTAAGAAGATTATTTGATATTCATTCCTTCGAACAGTTTGTTTGCTCTTAATTGCAAGCAGTGATCAGTGAACCAATAAAGAATTTTGGCCCAATCGCAGGCTTTATTAAAAACTAATAGGACCATTTTTACGACCATTTATTCAAAAAAAAACCTATTTTAGCAGCAACCGATGAATAATAGTATTTCGACATGGTAAATGAAAGTGGAAAATAATTCTTAAGCCCCCCTTCATATAAAAGTTCTTAGAAGGAATAAGCCTTTAAGACGCAACAAGATCCAATTTTTTGTAATTTACGATGAAAATTGGCGCGTAAACTTTTGTTTCGTGAGTGCTGTTTTGTATGCCTATATTTCGGACTCGCGTTTGAATTAAGGGTAGTCATAAAGACGAGCCTTTCGCATGCAAACAAGATAAAATTTTGACAAAGTAAGGGATGTTAAAGAAATTGTCCTAAGCAAAAAGGTGTAGCGTATTTAATAGTCTGCCTTACTTGAGTTATTAGAGTTCAAGTTTAAAAAGACTTAAAGAATTCTCTTATGCTTTATAATTCCGCGAAGTAATCATTAATCAACGCGCGTCATTGCGGGGTGTATTACACAGCAACACGCTTGCGGTATGTGACTTTTAACTATGTAAAGTCCGATGACGAAAATGAAATAAGTCTAAAACGTAAAATCTATCCGAGCAATTGAATCTACCAAACCTTCATTTAAATTATGGATAGAGCAGCAGATATCTATACGCACTTGATAGGGTATCCGGTATATTTAAATATTTCTCAAAGGTGTACATGTTCTGAGTTTTATTATTTTGGTCTTGGAAAACAAAACGACTGAAAATATTTTAAAGGCCCAGGACCAACTTTTCGCTAAAACGACTTTACAAACTAAAGTATTATACGGGACAAGGTCGAAAAAGTGAT